GGGTTGGAAATTTTGATGTGCGGTACCGTTTGTGCGTCACGTGAGACCTCGCGGGTGACATAGTCACGTGCGCACACTCGCCCCCAGGGTTTGAGCCCTAAAACCACCACAAAGGTAGTCTGCTCCAGAACCGGTAGTTTTACCAAATGGCCAATTTACTGAATGGCTAGAGAAGTGGACTTTGGCTTGTCTTCCACGGACACGCCGATTTCATAGATTGGCAACAACACTCCTTCGTCATACTGACCGGCACTTTCTGAAACATATTTCCAATTGAGGCCAACTTTTAATCAACACCGATTCACCATCAGCTACATATCAAATCCAATCCACGGTTCCCAACTAACTGACCCTTCCATCTTCGGAGTTGCATCGTCTGTCCCACAGTGCATGACAGAATGCATAAGCGAGAGTAATGGAAAACGCAAGTCCCACCAGCTTTTCTGTACCGCTCGTACGATTATTGTAAGCTGCAGCGAAGCTCACGTTTTGCATATCCCACTCGATCTTCAATGACCAGATGATGGTGAAGAGACACGCTTTCCAAGTGTCATAACCACAGTGCGGCTTGATGACATCACTCTGATAGTTGCTGTTTTTGTAAAGTTCCAGTAATTCTGTTAAAAGTTGGCTTCGTCCCACTGCAGACCATTTCTGTCTTGGTTGATATTTTCGAGTTTTCTAACACAAAGAAGGTTCTGCAATAATATCATGAATAGGTGGCGCCACACTTGAAAGCCTGCAGCACCTAAGGCCACAGATCACGTACCCCACAAGCCTACGATTTACGCTGAGCCAATCAAAGCAGGAATAATTCGATTTTTACTTATTTTCTTCAAATTCTTCATCATTTTCGCTTTTATAGATAGTCATATTTTCTTCGACTAACACCCACTGTCAGCCGTGTCTACGTCTTGTGCGTCCGGTCTGCTCCGAAGATGTCACGTGCCCATTCTCTCACATGGCCGAGGCCCTTGACGCGGCCGCAAGGGCATTTAGGCCGCACCACAGCTGTTTAGGTGCGGCACGTGACATGCACGTGGAAAGCACGTGACCAAAACGTAAAATTGCCAGAATTCAGCAAAAATGGATACCGCCACCAAATTGGCCGTAGAAAGATGTTCAGATCGTCAAATTACCAAATCTCTACCTCCCTTCAACACCGTGCAATTGGGCATAAAGTGTGCGCCAGCCTCGCGTGATGGAGGGCCCCTGCAGGACAGCAAACCATCCGGGGGTTCCTTGCTGCCTCACCTTAAATAAAACCCGAGCGATTCCCACTTTTAACCAAACCATCGAAAATCAAAAATGTCCTACGCTGAAGCTGCCTCATCCCAAGGACCCACCGGATCCAAAGTCGTCGAGGACCCATTGAATCTGACCCCAAATGACGTTAAGAAGGAGGCTTCTCAGGGGGCCGACAAGGTCAAGAAGGACGCCAACGAGGCCCTGAAGAAGGCCTCGAAAGAAGCCGACAAGATCAAGAAAGACGCTTCCAAGGCCACCGAGGACGCCATCAAGAAGGGCAAGGCTGCCACCGACAATGTCAAGAAGGACCTCAAGGAGTTGGAGAAGGAGTCAAGACCATACATTGAGCAGGCCACCAAGTTCGTCAAGGAGAAGTACCAGGCTGCTGCCAGCTTCGTGGGCTCCTACGTCAACAAGGACACCGTGGCTGCTGCCGGCAACGAGCTTCAGAACCCTGTTGTGTTGGGCCAGATTGCTGTCATTTTGGGTGGTGCCACTGCCGGCTGGTTTGTGTACTCTGAGCGTGCCAGAATCAGATCGGACAACAAGTACGTGGTGGGCATTCACGCTGCCGTGATCACCGGTCTTGTCCTTGCCGACGGTGTGCTCTTCTCGCAGTTGTACCCTAAGTACAAGAAGAACTAAACATATATTCAATAAAGAACATCCGATAAGCGATTCAAGCGGTAGTAGGTGATTGGAGAGGTGAATGATCAGGTTACGGTTTTCTCAATTGAGTAGTTTTGGCGGTTGAGTACGGGTGTAATAGAGTATGACCCATGTTCTCTGAATGTGGAGGGAGCAAGATCGAGAAAAATATCGATTAAGCCAATGCATGGTCTATGAGGAAGAGAATAATAACAAATTAGGGATGTTATGGTAATATAAGGCCAATTGACCATTCTAATCCATAACGGGAAATGAATCAAGGTAACCCAGTCTCACAGAGCAATTGACATTGCAATTCAGCCATTGCCCGTTCTACGTTATGAATACAATGTTGATAGCCCGAACTTCAACGATTTCGACAATTTGTTTTATAAAACACATGACGAAATTGACCATCAAGGTGCTTAAATGATTACTCTCGAATGAACCTGTTTATCCTAGTGAAACACCCAACTAATCTACATGACAGCTTATCAAGAACATCACATTCAAAACAATCTTCTAAATCAATCTAAAAAATACCGATCTACTCGGAAATGGGAGCGGCCTCGTGGGCCTTTTCAGCCTCCTCGTCGATATCCTTCTTTTCATCAGCTCTGAGGTATGTGTTGTATCCCCAGTTCTGATTGGTGTAGAAGGTGTCTCTGTCATACTTGGTCAAGGCCTTTCCGTCACGCAATCTGAAAATCAAATCAGGATTGGCAATGAAGTATCTGGAGAATCCACCCAAGGTACGGCCGTGCTCAAGATCGTGCAAGAGATCCTTGAAGTCAGGAACATCGTAGGTGTAGTTACCGCTTCTAAGAAGGTTGCCTCGCCAGACGGTCTTGATGAACTCGTTGCTTGCAAAGGAGTCTTCACCAGCCAGCATTTCGGGGACTCTAGGCTCGATGACGGAAATGTAGGCCAATGGTTTTCCAGCTTCGGCTCTTTTTTGCAACTCACTCAAGAAGTAGCCGTAGGTGGCCACAGGGTGGACTTCATCATCGTTAGACTGCATTCCATTGTATCTGAGCCAAGGAGAAAGTCTGATAGCGAGTCTATCGGAACCAATCGCCTCGGTGATACGGTCAATAACAGCCAAGTTGAAGCGAGATCTGTTTTCAATGGATCCACCGTACTTGTCGGTTCTCTTGTTTGACGAAACTTCAAAGAACTGGTGGAAAAGGTAGCCAGTGGCTCCGTGGAGCTCAACATAGTCAAAGCCAGCTTCAACAGAACGTTTGGCAGATTCTGCAATCTCCTCAACCAATTGGTCAAGCTCCTCGGTGGTGTAAGCCTCCAACTCGTTGCCAGCCTCCTTAGCAGCCTTTTCCACGCCTTCGTCGGGATAAACAGCAGAAACACCCTTCAACTTCTGACCCTCCTTCTTGTTCTGAGCAGGATCGGCCACACGGCCCAAAGCCCAGAGTTGGATGGTCACAAAAGACTTGTTTTCGTGGATCTTGTCGGTGATCTTCTTCCACTCCTTGATGTGCTTCTCGTTGAAAATTCCTGGAGCTCTGGGCAAGCTGCCTGTCTTTTCAGTAGCAAGAACACCTTCAGTGGTGATCAAGGTTCCTGGATACTTGGACCTGTCGTCGTAGTACTCAAGCTGAAGATCAGAGGGAGTATGGTCGTCAAGAGCTCTGTATCTGGTGGAGGGAGTGAAGATGATTCTGGTCTGCAACTCGTTCTTTCCAACCTTGATAGGCTCAAAGACCTTGGTGTTCTTCAATGGGGTAATCTCGACTGGTTTAGGCATTTCTGTTCTTGGTTTTTCTGTTTGTGGTGATACCTTTTGAAGTTGAGAAATCCCTGGCTTTTTATACTTTTCAAGGCAAGTCGACGCTTAGTCAGAGTATTCCAGCTTATGCAAGGCTTTCCAGGATTGCGGCCATGATGGTAGCTGTTTCAGTACCGCGCAATGATGGAACGTAATGCAATTGATATATGAATCTTGAGCTCAAATTTAATTTTCCTGTGAAAATCGGGTCATTTTTATCAAAATATTACTCGGTTTCTTCCCTTGAATGCCTTGAAGATTTCAGATTCGATAGTGGTGATCGCTTCTGTTGCATATGCGAGGTGCGTTTCTCTCGGAGGTGCGTCCCAAAAGGGTAATGCTGCCGATTATCTGACAAACCGATCCACCTCGTCTGCTTAGACGAGCAAGATCGTGCATGTATGATAATCTAAGTAGATGGCGCTAGTCAGTGATAATTCGAGGAATGGAGAGATTTGGTGACAAGTTTTGAAACCTCAATTCCACCACAATGGGTCTATTGTTAGTGGGGGTCTGCGAATGTAAGGTGGATTGATAAGGCACTCACAGTTCTTTGAATAATAGAGAACAATAATATCACTGTTTTGTAGCCCTCCCAAACAGCTACTACCGCATTTTGGCAACGCTGTAAATCCGATCCGTACATCTATAGCCTTTATCGTTGACAACTTTTGAGTGCACTGGCTGAATCGTAAAGTTAGAGAGCATTCCACTTGTTTAAAAAATCGTCTGTTGCAATGGCAGTGACTGATCAGGAGGAAGCAAAGAAAAACGTTTAAGGGTATTTGATTTTTGACTGCAAATGGAACAACCTCCACCAGGCTAAGTTATGCCAACAGAGACCTTCTCTGCATTGCAATGAGATGAAAGGAGGCCCATTGCTAATTCACCAAATCAGAAGATCAACACTAGATGAACTCGTGCAGCCTGGACATTATTTCGGTCTTTCAAGTGTCAAATTAGGTAATATCCCACAGGCTGCTTCTTATCTGATATTCACGAGGCAAAGGCCAAAGCCAGGAAAGGCGCTGAAGAAGACCTCTAGCTTTCCAAGCTTATGCATCCTTCCTTTTTCTTATTTTTCTCTTTCCCAATTGCCTCAACAATCCAGAACGGACTAAAGAACAAATAGTGGCGAAAACCACAAATATTGCCGCTGAACAATAAACCCCTCTCGAAAGACGCCGTTCCCCCAAACCAACCAATCAAAGCTGCTTCACCGTTTGAGCCCCGTGGCGCAAGCCAACTAACCTTCCCTCATTTTCCCAATCCATCATTATGAGTAATCGGTGCTCAGATTGAGAACAGCACCATCAAGATGATGATGATTCCATATCTACGCAAAAAAAGGTTCTATAAATTAACAGCCAAATCTCCCTTGTCCCATCAGGACTATGATGAGCCCAATTTGGAAGAGCATGACATCGCTAGATCTCGCAATGATAACATCCAATGTATCTGAGTCCAGATAACCTGTACCAGGAGCCCTGGTGTGGCGTATCTCAATCAGTAGAATTACTCATTTTCCGCATTGGGATTATCTGCCTTATATAAGGGGCGGCGCTCCCTTTGATTTTTCCCTCACTACACACACCCCCTTGGAAAGTCAGGTATCAGTTGGCTTTCAGGATAGTATAGGAACGTCGGTTTAAACCTCAACCGACGTAAGTGTTTAGATAAGCGAAACAAGATGGGATCAGCAATCGTTGCATACACCCCAACAAGGAACTTTATCGTGGAGTGATGGCTTGAGCGAATATTCGAGTTATACCTGCGATTTTCAAGACGTTCCGTTTGATGAATTTACGGATTTCTCAAGTTCCAGCTCAGATCTTGCTCAGCTTGACACGCTTCTTTCGGCCTCCAAGGGCCTAGATTTCGAAACACCACAGGAGTTTTCTTCCTCCGAGAACAGTACACCCCCACAATTACGGTGGGTCGATGAATCCAAGGATTACTTCGCCAAGTCGAAGCCCGAACCCAGGATGCCTGTCTCCAATGACGACATCGATAAAGTTCGGAAAAGACTAAGTAAACGGAAACATCGTCCTCTCGAGTTGAAACCTGACCAGGTGCCAAAGTCCGACAAACGTATGAGGAATACGCTAGCGGCACGTAGGTACCGGGAGCGTCAGAGGAAGGATGTTGAGGTTCTCGACTCTCGCATCAAGCAGATGGAAGAGGAGCTCAACAAAGCCAAACTCGAAGCAATGTGGTGGAAAATGGAATCTAAGCGCTGGAAGGAAGAAGTCGACAAGTTGTGCAAGAAACTGTAGCTTCAATATATGATACTTTACCTTTCAAGTCTTGTAGAGTTGTAAGAGTGTAGTAGTACTGAGCTGTATAGGACCGCTGAAAGATGCACTTGAACTTGGATAATTTCCTCTCAAGCACGGGCCGCTTGAAATAGCAGAGAAGCGAATGAGAGTTGAAGTTAGCCTGTTTCCTCAAATGGGTTTTGTCATTGGAAGCATCGCTGATTTTAGCCTCCCTAATTCACTGTACCGTTAATAATAGATGAAATGTTGACACAGATCTGCCTTTGGTTTTGCCGATTATTAAATCACACAATTATCCATTTGCAAATCTTCCATTCTGCTTTTCTCTTAATGATCGAAGGAAATGAAACGATAGAAATTAGAGCACAAACTGTGTCAGCAGTGTCCTGCGACGAACGACAAGTCGGGTTTCCGACGGTGATATTGTTTGATGACAAGACAGCTGAAGGTCTTTTCCATGTGTGTTTGGCTGTGGAGCAAATAGTCTATCCGCTTTCAAGTCATATTGTTATAATTGGAAAATTGCCAAAATTTGATTAATTTTTTTTCTTCTTCATCACCACTAACCCATGAGTATCGGCTGTGCTGTAAACGTCAAGAAAGTCTCGATGTCAGCAAACCTCAACAGGCAAGGACCAGCAGGGTGATTGAAGTCCATGAATTTCAAGTCTCTGTCGGCAACTTCTTTTTGGAATCGCCGTACGCACTGTGGCAACTCTTCGATCGACATTGTTCAACCGTAAGAGGTACCAAAGTAAGATTCTTCAGCGTAATTATTTTTTCTGCTCATCCACAGATGTGGTCGGAGACGGAAAGAAAACTAGGCTCATGCACCATATGGCAGGGGATCTGGAGCCCGCTAATCTTTAGAGTGTCAGACTGTGGGGTTAATTTGTTGGTAGCTTTTTGGCGTGAAAGCAACCAACTTTCACCCCTGTCACTCCATACCAAAGTAAACCACCGAAAAGCGTCATTCTGACCAAAAACGCCCCAAAATCACGACATTCGGAGCCGTGCCAAGGACAAGTCCGAGATTTCTCTACAGGCCTCCACGCCAGCATTCCACGCATTGTTCTCGTCAACGAAGTGCGTTTGTCAAATTGTCAATTGCCTTGTCAATGCACGCGATCATACTACATGACCAGGGGCTGCTTGACCCTTGAGGGGCATTTTGCGCACCAGGGCCCGATCTCGAAGATGTGTATCTGGAACAGCATGAGCCCGCAGCGGAGGGAAAGCAGGGGGGAAGACGCAAAAGTGGGCCCACGAGCAGTTGATGCTGAGGAGAGTATGTAGGGAGAAAACCCTAGTGGTGCAGCAGAAGGCGATCCCGCAGACAGCCTTAGTGGAAGGTGGGCCCGAGGAGGACCACATGAAATTGCCGGATGAAGGGAGCTGTAGCGCACTTGTGGGCTGGTGATTTCTCACGAGAGTCTGGCTCCGTCGCATGGCAAAGGCAAAAGAAAATTAGCCTTTCTGAGCCACGGCGTCCCGGCTGCTAGACGGAAGAAAGATTTGCAGCTGCGGCACCGAAGCGAACGATTAGCCTCCCCCGATCATTCAGATAAGGGCAGCGCAGATGGTGTAAAAAGTGAGGAAAGCGGCATCAAGGTACACCACTGGAAGCGGCACTCTGAGGCGGGTTCAAGGCGCCCCAGACCCTCGAGACCCTTTGCCTCGAGGTGCTTGTGAGAGTGGTTGAGCAGGGTCGCTTAACCCAAACCGGGAATTTCTAAGCATTCGGGCCCCCAACCGGTGCATCGGCTCATAGACGCGGACAGTATTTTTGGTCAGACAGGCAGGTTCGAGGGCCCAAGGGTGGAGGCGGCGCGGGCAGGACAGAGGTTTACGAAATGGGCGCAAGAGGAGCGGGAAAAGAACACGGGAGTTTCTTCTGTGGATTTTAGAAAAAAGCGGGCGGGTCTCCTGTTTTTATAGTTTGAGCAGATCGTCAGGAAGGGGGTACCAGGGGATTGTTTGAGGTGTTGCCGGGGAAACAAAGCGCAATGCACTAGGAGCGGTGTATCACGTTGCATGGAGTGGGAGGAAGAGAAACAAAAAAAAATATCTGCGGCGCTAAAGCATGCCGGGCAGATCTGGCGCGATGCAATGCGCGGTGCTGCAGAGCCGCCAGCACAACTGGGAGCTCGCTGCTTGGCCAGAGTCACCGCCACACCTGTACCCTTAGAAGCAGCACCGATGCTGTCATGGACATGGCTGATAGACGAGGTCGTGTTTGCTTCAAATGTAGGGTAGTTGAAAACTTTGCATTTCTTTCTTTTTTTCGCTGCCAAGCACAGTGCAGATCCCAGACCTTCGCTGTCACAGGCGCCCGGCAAGATCGATCGAAGCCATGTTCCTAAATCCGATAACCCCTCTGTCGTCTTATGTCCTATCACTAACTCCCAGACAATACAGAGTTGCACTTACCCGATAAGATAAGCATGGGTGATGTGGCGCAATCCCGGCCCAGATCGGCAGGCCACTGGGGTAGTCATACTTGGAGAATGACTAATTAAATGTGTAATAGTGAGATCCAAAAGTGTGGATAGCACTTAAGGAAACGTGGGTGCTTCGGTGTTAGGGATCCTTGGTGGTCCAGCATTCTTCTCCATACGAGTGGCTTGTGCACGAAATAGAATGTGACTAGATAGGGCTAAAAGTGTTGAATGTTGCTTACACAAAGCTGACCAACGGAGATATCACGGGCATGGGGCCGATAGCCGATGCAGAAGATTGAGGAGTTGGAAAAGCGTACAAAAGCATGATCCCAAATGAGGATTTCGGCATTATTGCAATAAAGCGAAATGGACCCTTGTTTGCAAGCGACGATAATATTGATATTTTCACGTTTTTATTAAATTACCCTTCCAGCTGCCACCAGGAGGCTTAAGTTCGCCTGCCTCGTCTAAATGTCTCTCCTCTCCACCTAGCAAATCGGGAAGCACCTCCACCTAGCTTAGAAACGAGAGACAGCAAATTAACCGTTACTGCAAGATCCAGCAATTCTTGCAAGCAGGTCCCAAGGTAAAGAAAAAAAAGAGTAATCCTGCTTTGCGTAAGGCATGGTATTCCCGTCTCGCATGCCATCACAGAGATTGCTCTTAGGGTATAGAGGCATCAAACACTCCGAAACACCCGTCAAAGTAGGATATCCAAATGTGGAGGACGCTTTATGATAAATCCGATCCATTGTTGCGGTCTCGTGGAGAATTCGTTATCTTTGGGCCTTGCTTCATAGCGCAAAACCGCTCAGCATTTACGATAAGAACGCTGATTTACGGGGGATTACACAAAGCTCACGCTACCATCACGAGAAAAGAGTACTACAAACTCTGCCCCTGGAAAATTAGCCACATCCACGTTGGTCCCGGCGACGTCACCACGGAAGCATAATCTCCCGAAAAATGTTTCAAACGGTGTGTCTCAAAAATCCACCATCTTCTGTAATCTAGCGCTTCGAAACCAAGACACACAGAAGCTCTCAGACACACTTGAGCAGGTTACTTTTTCGAGGAGCCATGGGAAAAAGAAAAGAGTTCTTATTGGCCAAGCAAAAGCGAAATTCGCTTCGTTCGTGCGTTCTTCGCCAGCGGTACTATAACACACGCTGCATTCCATGCAATTGCCCCAAGCCTTCCAGCAACTTGTGGAGAAGGAGCAACCTGGTGGTAGGGGGTAAAAGAAAGCTCCTTTATTTTGACTAATTCATACTAAAAAAAATACAAATACCAGTTTGCTAAGCTTGCGAAATCAGGCTACTTCGCCAGTAGGACTGCTGCGAAAAGATGATGCAAATCGAATGATGTAGTATTCGTCCCTCGGGTCATGCAACCTTCCCATAAATGCCGTTAGTACAAAGGGCTGCTGGGATGATAAATCCGATGAGTTCTTTGTGGTGAGGCTTTTTACTCGGTGAAGTCTGTGACCATTCCGGAGCATGTGTTGTTTGTAGGCGAGGCGCGCCCCTGGCCGGGTTGCATTTGCCACAGCTCCTGCCGAAAACGGTCCACGACGTCATTTACATGCTGGTAGTGTAAAACACTTTTATCAGCCACTGTTCGTCTGTACGGTTGCTGAATCAGCCGCCATTTACGGTTTTCTGTATTGCGGGTGTTTTTGAGAAGTGCTGGTGTGGGATGGGTGTGTGTGTGTGCGCTTGTGTGCAGGCTAGGCTATTTACCGCGACAAGAAGACCCGGCGAAAAAAAGCGCTTGTCTGCAGAATCGCAACAGGGAGCCTGACGAATTTTGCTTCGTTGCAGCGAAAGTAGGGACCCGGCGGCGGTGGGTCAGTATTGCCGAGGGTAGACAGAAATATTTTTTAGCCAGAGCGCAACGCGGAGAGGCTTCCTCGGGTACGTTCCTAACGCCGAAGGGCTCAGGCAGGAGGATTATATGACGGCGTTCTGCAAGAACGTGCCTAACAATAGAGGCGAGGTCGATTGTTCTCGAATTCTAAAAAAACTGCGATTGTATGCCGCTGCTCGGAATCCATTGAGCGGTGCCGGCCGGTGTGCACACAGGCGGTACAGTGCAGACAGTGCAGCACAAGTCGCCGCGAGCTGTGCGTCTCGTGCTGCACGGCATGCATCCGTCAGCACCTCCCGTGCGCATGGCTACCCCAGAGCCACCGCTGCATCGCCATATATTATCGGCTAGTACACCGGACCTCACGCACCTGCTGCAGCCTCCAGCATCCCAGGCTCCCAGAAAGACAAGACATGTATGTGCTGTCTCTCCCTTTCCAGCCCGCTTCCATGCCTATATATTCGCCCCATCCCCAGGACCCTTTGTTTATTTGATTTTGTCTCTTTTAGAATTCTTCCTCCCCAGGTCTCCTCACTACTAAGCAGATCTTACAACATCAACGTCCCCCCCACCTTCTGCCCATCATCAACAATCCCGCCTCCACCATATCCACCCCTGGCCCGGAGCCCCAACACCCCCTGTCCTCTAAGGACACTCACTCCATGAACAATTACGCCCTTCGCCCTCCAGAAATGGCTAACTTCCAGTTCCATCATCACTTTGAGGTTCCCGAGGGCCATATGTCGCCCCAGCAACAACAGAGCATGTTTCTGAGACCCTCCACGGCTCAGCAGCAGGGACTACCCGAGGACCCTGACCTCCTAGGGTCTGTTCCAGGATACGAATTCCCATACTCTGAGTACAATGACACCAGACCGCCGTTCGAACCGTACCAGCCCCACCAGCCCGCCATGCCAGCTCCCCTGTTCAGCCAGGGCTTCCCCACCGACTTGGCGGATAGGTTCCCAGAAAGACCCGTTCTCGAAAGACCCGCCGAAAGAGACTCCCGGTTGCAGCAGGACTACTTCCCGGAGGAAGGCCCCGACCTCCGTCTTCTAATGACGGGGCTCTTCCCGAACCAGGACTCCCCCATCGGCGGCCCGATTCCTCCTCCTCCCATGCCCCACAACGCTGACTTCCCTCCCATGCCCATGGCGCAACCGCCGTTTCCTCACCCTGTTGCTCCTCCACCTCCACCGCAGCACCTTGTGATGGGCCACCCGCCAGCGGCGGAACCTCTCCAGAAACCGGCCCGGAAACGCAATTCCCGCTCCCGTCCAAAAAGACCTCTGCAAGGCTCCAAGAGCTCCTCGAGAGACTCCCAGGCCACGCTCTTGTCCATGGACCTGCTAGACCTGCTCAGCCTGGCCACCTCGGTCGACTCGTCTGCCAGTCCGAAAAAAGATGCTTGAAAGTCCTGGTGTCGGCGGCATCAGCCCTACGCTGCCCCAGGCTCCTCATTTCTACACTCCTCACCCTGACCACTGCCCGATTGTGCGAGGCGTGGCCACCGGTGGCTGCACAGCACATCCTCCGCCGGAAAAACTTCTGGACCGTCATCACGTCCAGGTGAAGCTCGAGGTTGGCGGAACCCTGATTGAGCAGGTCTGCCACTCGCCGTGGTCACAGGGAGAAGTGCTTGATCGCCGGCGCATTGTGCGTATCGAACGAAGGCAGCAGGGCCACCGTATCTTTGCAGACTTCTCCATAATCGGCTGCGCCAACGACCACCCAAAGACAGAACCACCGCCTCCGGACGCCGACGTGATTGAGGTGTCGTGCTTGGCGTGGGACAAGGCCAGCGACGAAAACAACCCGGGCCCCAACTTCTACATCACGTCGGTGGAAGTGGTGGCCATTGTAGAAACACTCATCCAGTCGAAGTTGATGGAGCTGAAGCTTCGCCGCCGGGAACGCGGGCGTATCCGGCTGAACTTGTTGACCTTCTGGCTGAAGCCGCTGTACCACCTGAAAACCAAGGTGTGTCCCGAGGGCCACAAGGCCGAGTTTGCACGGTTGATCATGGCCTACGGTGTGCGCAAGCCGCGTGGGTTTGACAAAGGCTTTAGGATTTTGAGCTGGGACAGGCTAGTGCCGGCGTTGAACAGAGCGTTGCAGTGCTACTATGCTGAAATGACGACAGAGCAAAGAGACAAGTTTGTGGGTGACGAGGACGAGAATGACGACGACGAAGAGGATGTCTGAGATTCACCCCCAAGCCAGCGGCTTAATACCTTCCCAAGCACACAGAGAATAGCAAATCCCAGCAGGTCACCAAACAAAAAACCTGCTTCCATACGAATAATATGGTTTTACGAGCCGGCTTCTGCCGACATGTAGACACGCCAGTGCACGGCCTAAACAGGATCAGCGTGCAAACGAGGAGGGAAATCGCTGTGCCGAAGGAATGAGCATCTAAAAAATAAAGCTTAAAAATACAGCGTGGGATCGTCCGTTTGCGCTTTCCGCAGATCTGCGATCGACACCAGAGGCTGCAAACTTTAGCGAAACCCGAATCTGAGGCTTGGGCCCGGGACAAACAAAAGGACACATTCCCCAATTCGGCAGGCCCACTTGAAGGGTTCGCCTGACTTCATGAGGAATGCAAAGCCTCGGCATGTGCGTCCTGGAGAAGTCTGGAAAAGCTGTAAAGTGGTGAGCAGGCTATTGCAATCCTCACTACTGGCTTCACCAGCCTTCCCTGGAAGCCGCAGAGCCAACCATTTTCTATCTTTTTCATCTTCATCTATTTCACCTTTCCATGGCTCCGATCCAGATCATTCACCTGTCACCCACATCCGAGGATACCACGGCATCCTTTAGCCGTGTGGGATCTTCGGGATCTTCCGTGCTGAATTCAAAAGCCGGTTCCTGAATTTCCACGCCAAAGCTACCAATCTAGAATTCGCCGGTTGCTCTGCCCTGACGCAGATACGATATAACTGTGCCTGGTTTACGATTTTAGCGATGAGCTTAAGCGTCCCACAGACCAAGAAAGATAGCAGCGACACTTACATCGAGCTGCATAGTGACGGGAGCTTTCCTCATCTGATGGCAGTTCTGGTGTATTAGGCGCAGGCCAAAAGTTTATTCAAACCAGCAATCTGGCATTGCATTTGGGGGGCTGTCCAGCAACAAGGCAGATCGGGACTTGGGGTACCCGGGTAATATCCGGCGATATTTTTCAAGCCGGGATAATATATGTGTTGGTGGGCTGTTGAGAGGTGTGGGGGCGCCGTGGGGGATCCCATCATGGCCTGATCGCCTAGATACATGGAGCCAAAAAGCAGGAACGTGGAGTGAGCAAATAAGCTTACGGATTGGGTTTTGGAGCTTGACGGATTGGGTTTTCTGAAGCCTGACGTCATGAACGATCAAGCCTATGTTCCTGGCGGCACTTTTGTCATTTTGAACAAATTTTGCAATTTCAGCCTTCCACTCAGATCGCATCAGCATTCACACAGATCGCATCAGCTTTCACTCAATCATCGCTTTTTGTGGACTCTCAGCCCTCCCCCCTACAATCCCCCAATCGATTCTCAATTATCTCTATAAATAAACCTAGTGGTCAAAGCGGAAGTCCAACCGCTTGTTACCCTTGTCGCTGGTGTCGGCAATGTAACGTTGCTTTTCCTCCGGCGTCATGGCCCCCCAAACCTCATCTCGCTTTTTGTTCTTCCACACATAGAACGCCTTGGTAAGCAACAAAACAGGAATCAAGCCGCACATGATCCCGAAAAGCTCCTGGTTACCACGGCGGTACTTGGGCAAATCGTCCTCACGATAGATGTTATACGCAATGATGTTGCCTGCCTGAACAAACATATTGTACAAGGCAGAACAGATGGATCTGGTTTCAATGGAATTGGAGTTTCTTGAAACCCACGCCACACACATGGCGTGAATGTATGGAGCCGCTAGCACCATGGTGACGAAAAACCACGTTAACCAAGCATCCTCCATGGTTCCAGGCCACCACCTCATGGCTGCTAAAAACGGGATCGTCACTATGGGCATGGCAAGACTCATGAGGCTTCGTTCGTTGAATCTCTCAGAAAGCCAGGTGATGCCAAACATGAAGATGATTTGAAGCACATGCAGCGGGATGGTAAGAAGATTGACATCGAGAGTACTGAATCCCAACTCCCTCATTGACAATACCATATATGGCTGCACGGTCAGCATGGGGATGTATGCCAAAATGCCAATGATGAAAATAGGCCACAAGTTCCAGTCCATGAGGGATCCGAGGATGGCCTTGAGTGCCAATGCTTGTCTGTTGTTCATGCCGCCTTTCAGTGGATCGTCTCTGAGGATTCTGTTCACGACAATTTTCTCCTCACGATCTGTGAACCAGCCTTTGGGGTGAAGCTTGTTTTTGGTTTGCACAACAGAGGGCACCATGAGGTAGAAGGACCAGATTCCAATAAGCAAGGTGATGGAACCCTCGATGATGAAAAGCCACTGCCATCCGGTCAATCCTGCTACACCTCTCATTCTGAGAATGAAGTAGGCAAGCACGGACGTGATGGTCTGTGTGGCAGCCAACGCCGTCCAGAAACCCCAGAGTCTGATGGGCAACTCGCCAGACTTGTAGAAGTACGAAAGCCAGAGAATCATGTCTGGGATGAACCCACCCTGAAAAAGACCAATCAACACACGGCAAATCAAGAAACCGGTTTTGTTCGTCAAGGCACCCTGGCAGGTGGAAACAATACACCAGCAGCAGATCTGGATGGGAATGAAAATGTCAGGTCCGAGTGCCTTGGAAATGATCTGCGATGGAAGCTCAGCACATAAAAACGCACACAAGTTGAGCGTGTTTCCCAAATTATAGTCGTTTGTGTTCATGTTCAAGTCTTCCAAAAGATTGTCGGCCACAGCCTCATGCAAATTGCCTCTGTTGACCTGCAACGCAAAGAACATGATACAAGCACTCAAGATGGCTCTTCTGTCGACCTTCCTCATCACCTTCTTGTCCTCCTCCTTGGTCCACGTGAAATGGGGGTCAAACGCTTCACGACACTCGTATTCACATTCGTCGTAGATTTGACGGTAATGGTCGGCTATGAAGGGGTCCAAAAACGGATTGGGATCCTCAAACTCGGTCTGGTCTTCCAAGTCAGAAGGCTCTCCCAGAGCAGATTCTGTATCGACCTTCAAGTCGCTTTTTTCAACGCTTCTGCCTTCAACGAAGGTATCGCTGGTTTTGGCCTCCTCGTTTCCAGGACTAGCTGAATCAGCGTACTTTCTGAAAAATCCCATTGCTGATGAGGAACCATTGTTCCCGGCGGGTTCTTATACCTCGAGAGGATGCCAATAATTAGCGTGCCGTGATTTCTGAATGCTTTTTGTCATTAGTGCTGGATTGCGTCAGTTAGCCACCACAGTTACACTGTTCCTCAGTAGTTGCGGTTAGGCTGATGTGCTTGATCTATGCGGTTGTTGTATGTACCATTTTTAACGGCGAAAATTCTGGAACAGCTTTTTCTGGTTTTTGTTCGCTGAATCGCTATTTACAAAAGGTGGGTTTCCCAGCCACAGTGCCCTTAATCGTTTTCAAGTTGAAGTGCCAAGACTGACATTGATGTTAAGAAAAAGTCTAGGAAGAGCAGCAAGGTTCCACAAACGGCCAAGCATCTAGCAACAACGGTCCGAAAGTTGGCGATGGGGGCTGAGTTGGGAAGCTGTCATTTCAGGAGGGAAAAATTTTTAAAAATTTGAAGCCTTTTTGGAACCTTGTGTGGGTTTAGGGCCGGGAGACATTTGGTGCCCTGGACATTTGGTAGGCGTGGGTTTCCTGCAGGATATTTGCAGCCAGAATGTCGCGGCATCGGTACTTCTGCCTCCCGGGGTATCGTAAAGAATGCCGGAACCAATTTTGTGATTCGTGGGGGAAATGAAAATTTGCTTCTTTCAGCCACAGCATGAAGAGGTGATAAGCCGTGTGGAGGGGCCGAATGAGAGTGCTTTTTGTCAATCACACGACCAACCATGTGGCCACTAGGCGGTTAGTTGAGCCAACCAATAATATCTCCAAAAGCGAGCAGCATCCCCTGAGGGCTGTCTTTACAAAAAGCTACTTTGAATAAGCTGTTATCTCATGGATACTCCCCAAAACCATTGCTGCCGATCTCAAAACCATCCTTAAATGATACCACCTGCACCCAATCAGAAACCAGAGATTCTCGACACGCCAAACCCCCATAGTATCCACCCATTATCCATCCTCTTCAACCACCTTTCATTCTCCTTCACGCCGTCCATGTGAATCCCTCACCTACGAAACCACCCTCCTGTTTCCCCTCCTCTCCTACCTAACAATGCCGTTGTAGCTTCACACTTCTAGGCGAAAATTCAAAACCCACGCGAAAATGCAAAATCCAGAAATCCTCCAGGCTTTCCATAACCCAGCCTTATACTGCCGGCTCGCCCCGAGTTTTAGACCCTCCACGTCACTCCCCATGCATTTCTCATCCTCAGGGGCACGATTCCTTCAACGTGGCTTGCACATTCAGCGATAAGGCGGATCCCCACGCGACTAGACCTTTCTGGAGTGGCTTGGTCGTTGTTCTCTGTAACTGATTTTCCATTGAGCTTCCCGCGCTGGAAAAGCCATAAGGCTGCCAAATCGGGCAAGGCCCACGTTATTGTGGGACTTTTGGTTTCAGGAACGAACTGGCCAGTGTCCAATGGAAATGCCCCCGGCATGAATCACGGGCATGACAGGAGATTTTTTATGTAGGGCGGCTTTTCAGATAAGGGCGAGGAGCCCAAAAAGGCTAATTGGAAAAAAAAAGCGAAATTTTGTGCTGCTCCTGAAAATTGGCCCTCACGAAAAAGGCCTCGCAGAATGTTCGAAATTTAAGCTTTAGCTTTAACGGCTGATGCTTGCAGACGGAGTATGTCCCGGCGTCACAGGAGGGATTTTTTTGTGATTGGCGACTTGGTTTTTTTTTTTTTTTGTTTGTGTTACACAATGCTTCCAGCACATCCCCATTCTGCTGTCGAACAGTGCCTGGCACATTCCGTGCGGCCATGGCCTCGGCGGAAATCCGACCTGCCCAGCATGACAATCGAAAAAAATGCTGTTTTTGGGCCGTGCACGAAAGGTTTTTACGGTTTTGCAAATTTTTTTTAAAATTCCCGCTAAAAACTTACTTCCCACGCCTGAATGGTGCCCTGGTCTTATCGTTAACCGCGGA